GGGGGGCGGCAGGTGGCTTTTTTTGCCTAGGGCAGCAAAAAAGCCAGAGCCGGCCCTGTGTGTACCCCAAGTTTCACCTCACTTAAACTACTTACTTACAAAACAGACAAATAGAAAAGTGTCACAGCACACTAGTACTGAAAAATTGGACACTCATTTTTACCATAGTTATAAAATAAATCAATTAGAATATAAATATTGTTCTTACATTTCAGTGTATAGTATACAGAGTAGGGCTGTCAAGTGATTAATCACAATTAATTTTTTTTAATCGAGCCGTTAAACAATAAGAATATCATTTACTTAATTTTGGATGTTTTCAACATTTTCAATTACAATACAGAATACAAAGTGTACAGTGCTCATTTTATATTTTGATTACAAATATTTGCACTGTAAAAACACATTTTTCAATTCACCTAATACAAGTATTGTAGTGCAATCTCTTTATCATGAAAGTTGAAATTAAGAATTATGTACAAAAAATAACCATCTATTACTCCCCACCCCCATCACGATTTTTCACACTTGCTGTCTGGTCACTCTAGCGCGCCACGTGCACCAGTGCTGGAAGTTTTCCCCTCAGCAGTATCCGTAGGGGTGTGGCTCTGATGCCCCCTAGAGTGGCGCCCGCATGGCGCGGCATAAGAGGTGCCGCCGGCTCCCTCCACCCTCAGTTCCTTCTTGCATGAAACTCGGACAGTGGGGAAGGAGGGCGGGTCATGGAATGGACACGAGCAACCCATCTCGAAGAACACTAGTTACGGAAAAAGTAACTGTCTTTTCTTCTTCGAGTGCTTGCTCATGTCCATTTCAGATTAGGTGACTCCACAGCAGTAACCCTGAAGGTGAGTAGGAGTTCACTGAGTGTAGATTGCAACACAGCTCTGCCGAACCTAGCTTCATCCCTGGCCTGCTAAGGGATAATATAATGAGTGGTAAATGTGTGGACAGAGGACCATGTTACAGCTCTACAGGGATGTGTGCCAGGAAGGCTGCCAAAGAAGTCTGATCTCTCGTCAAGTGGGCTCTGACAATCGGCGGCAGCGGAACCCCCACCAGGTCGTAACAGGTCCTTATGCATGAGGTCCTCTGGACGCCCTGTACATGAACACCAGGAGGAAGATGTCCTGGTTCACATGGAAGGTGGAGACCACCTTTGGCATGAAGGCCGGGTGGGGCTGCAACTGAACCTTATCTTTGTAGAAGACTGTGTATGGCGGTTTTGAGGTCAAGGCTTTAATTTACAAGACCCATCTCGCTAACGTCACTGCCACTAGGAATGCGACCTTCCATGACCGATGGGAGCAGGAACCCAGTGGTTCAAAGGGCAGGCCAGTGAGCCTAGAGAGGACCAAGTTAAGATCCCACTGTCGGATGGGAGCCCGCACCTGCGGGAAGAGTCTCTCCAGTCCTCTCAAGGATCTGACAGTCATGTCATGGAAGAACACCATCTGTCCTTGGATCAGCGGGTGAAAAGCAGAGATGGCTGCAAGATGCACTCTAATGGAAGTGTGTGCCAGGCCCTGGTTCCTCAAATGGAGCAGGTAGTCCAGGACAGCCCGTTTGGAGGAACACGAGGGAGAGATGCCCCATTCGGACGCCCAGTGGGAAAACCTCGTCCACTTGGCCAGATAAGTCAGTCTAGTTGCGGGCTTCCTACTTTCCAGGAGGACCTGTTGGACTCCTTCCGAACAGGTCTGCTCCTCCAGGTTCAGCCACACAGCATCCATGCAAGAGGTGGAGGGACGCGAGATTGGGGTATAAGAGCCGACTGGTCCTGCGACAGCAGGTCCGGTCAGTTGGGCAGGGGCCAGGGAGGGGCCACTGACAGGCTCATGAGCATGCCGAACCAATTCTGGCAAGGCCACGCTGTGGCAATCGTGATAACCTGCGCATGGTCTCTCGCTCTTTGCCAGGGTCCTGATGATGAGTGGAATTGGAGGAAACGCACACATCAGGCTCCCTGACCATGACAGGAAGGCATCAGGGAGGGAACCCTTGCTCAGACTGTCGAGAACAAAACCGGTGCCATTTCCTGTTCTGTCTGGTAGTGAACAGGTCCACTTGAGGAGTTCCCCACCTTTGGAAGATCATGAAGGCTACCTCTGGATGGAGTGACCACTCGTGGAGAGAGGAGAAGTCTCTGCTGAGCTGGTCTGCCAGTGTATTCCTGACGCCGGGAAGGTGACAAGCTTCCAGGTGGATTTTGTGGCTGATGCTTCCCCTTGCCTGTTGATGTAGAACATTGAGGCTGTGTTGTTCATCAGGACTCGTACCACCTTGCCCGACAGGTGGGGCAAGAAGACTCCGCATGCCATCCGGACTGCTCGGAGCTCTTTGAGGTTTATGTGTAACCGTACCTCCTCTAGGGACCACATCCACTGTGTCTGGAGGTTGCTGAGATGTGCCCCGCAGCCAAGGTCTGAGGTGTCCAACACCAACACGATGGAGTGAGGAGGGTTGTCTAATGGAACCCCTTCCAGGACCGTCCTGTGGTCAGTCCACCAACAGCGAAGTAAGTATCACCTGGGGAATGGTAACAATCTTCTCCAGGGGGTCTCAGGACTGGGAATAGACCATCGCCAGCCATTGTTGCAGGGGCCGCATCTGGAGCCTGCCATGGCGGACAATGTAAGTGCATGTGGCCCAGCAGGCGCAGACAGACCCTGGCTGTAGTGAGAGGGAACGTGGAGACTTCCATGACGAGGTTTGCTATCGTGTGGAACCTTTCCAGCGGCAGGAACGCTCTAGCATAGGTAGAGTCAAGGACCGCTCTGATGAACTCTGTCCTCTGCACTGGCACTAATGTCGACATTTTGTTGTTCACCAGTAGGCCCAGAGAGTGGCACATGGCTTGAAGCACTGCAACATCCCTTCGGACTTAAGACCTGGAACTGCCCTTGATGAGCCAGTCGTTGAGGTACAGGTAGAACTGGATACCCTTATGCCTGAGGTAAGCCACTACCACCAACATGCACTTGATAAACAATCTTGGTGATGTTGCCAGGCCGAATGAGAGGACCATAAACTGGTAGTGATGGGGCCCCATCATAAACCAGAGGAAGCGTCTGTGTCCTTGAAAGACTACCATGTAGAAGTATGCATCCTTCAAGTCGAGGGCGGCATACCAATCTCCCGGATCCAGGGAGGTGATGATAGAAGCCAGAGAGACCATGTGGAAGTTTAGCTTCTGTAGGTACTTGTTGAGGTCTCGCAGGTCCAGGAGGGGCTGTAGACAGCCCTTGGTTTTTGGGATTAAAAAGTACCAGGAATAGAACCCCTTGTTCCTGTACTCGAGAGGAACTTCTTCCACTGCACCCAGCTGTTGTAACCCTTTTACCTCCTGTGCGAGGAGACTCTCGTGAGAGGGGTCCCTGAACAGGGACAGGGAAGGTAGGTGGGAAGAGGGGTAGAAAGGAACTGGAGGGTCTAACCCTGTTCAACTGTGGTGAGGACCCAGCAGTCTGAAGTTATAGTGGTCCAAGCTGGGAGGAAAGGGGAAAGCTGGTCGGAGAACACTGGGAAAGATGGATCCGGGGAATAGTCTGGTAGGTCACCCTTGGGCCCACCCTCAAAATGACCGTTTGGCCCCCTGCTTATTAAGGGTCAAGCTCGACTGGGCAGAGGATGGAGGCGGGTGGTTTGGGCGGCGCTTGTAGCCTGTGGCTCATTTATGGGGTTGGTCCTGCTGAGGCTGCCTCCCCTGGCCCTGATGCTGCTGTGGTTTGAACTGCTTACGCGCCAGGGCTGGGACGTAGAGACCCAGGGTTTTCAGGCTGCTGCGAGAGTCCTTGAGGCCATGCAACTTGCTGTCTGTTTGCTCCATAAATAGGGCCCCGCCACTGAAGGGCAGGTCCTGCAATGACTTCTGGGCCTCGGTGGACAACCCAGAGAGGAGCAGCCAAGAGACTCGCTGCATGGAGATAGCGGAAGCCATGGTGTGGGCAGCAGTCGTGCCCTCAAAAAGGATTGCTCGGAATTCCTTCTTGGAAGCCTCAGGGAGCGACCCTTTGAACTTGGCCATGGCTTGCTGCATATTGAAGTCATATTGGCCAAGGAGGGCTTGGTGGTTGGCTACTCTCAGCTGAAGGCTGGAAGATGAAAATACCTTTCGCCCGAAAAGATCCAGCTTCCTTGAGTCTTTATTTTTGGGGGTGGCCCCGAGTTGTCTCTGCCGCTCTTGTGGTTCACCACCTCAACCACAAGAGAATTGGGGGCTGGGAGGGAGTATAGGTACTCACGCCCTTTGGTTGGCATGAAGTACTTATGTTCGGCCCTTTTTAGAGAGGGGGTCTGGCACAGTGCATCATGCAGGGGGTCAGACCAGATGATCATAATGGTCCCTTCTGACCTTAAAGTCTATGAGTCTATGATTTTGGAGACCTCTTCAGGAAGGGGCAGGACCACCCTCGTGGGAGCCGAAGAACATAGAACATCAAACAGAGCCCCAGGGCTCTTCCAGTTCCTCAGCCTGAGGCACCAGGTTAGAAGCGAACCTCTTCAAAAGTTCCTGGTGTGCTCTGGTGTCATCCTGAAGAACCAAGTGAGGGGGCCCCGTGATAGCCTTGTCTGGTGCCGATGAGGATGATGCCGGTGCTGCGGGAACCTCCATGTCCATTGGTGGTCTAGCAGCTTGCTCCCCTGGGTCCTCCTGGACCTGCAAGGTCTTACCCCCTGAAGCCTCGAGCACCAGAGGGGGAACGGGATACTGAGGCCACTGGCCTCTCCGAGGCTTCTGACACCGATCAGGCAGCCTGGGAAGGTTGGGTGAACCCCCAGGGGTTCCATGGGTACCATGGCGCCAGCCACTGCGCTTGGGGCCATGGGGCAGGTTTCGGTGCTGATAATGTAGTTGGCACCGCCGGTACTGGGGCTTGTCCGGCAGTCAGGGAACCTCACTCTGAGCCGGAGCTACCAACAGAGTGGTCAGTACCGGGCGACCAGGATCGGGGTGAGTGGTGGCTGGTTATTGCATCCTGAAGCCGACCTGTCTGAGCGAGATTGTCTTGGTTGGGCTCTTGGGTATGGACAGAGTTCAGCAGATCTGCGTCTGATACCTGGCAATCCACGCCTCAAGCGACTCGACCGGTACCAGGACGTCAACCAGGACCAGGAGGATCAGCCTGAGTAGGGCGATCTCCTTCTTGGAGACGGGTGATGATGGCCCAGCAATCGGTAATCTCTGGTGTCTGATTGGTCCCGGGATCACTACCAGGCCCTTGGAGACCGTCAAGGCCGGTCCCGAAGTTCTTGCTGGGTGGCGCGTGCCCCAGAGGGTCTGCGCCATTCCACCAGCGAGGAACGCCTTGAGTCCCTTGATCGGTGCCCCTGGCGTGGGGATTGAGGCGGGCTCAGCTTATTTACAATGTCACCTGAAAGTGAGTACAGGTGTTAGCATTGGACTGTTGTAGCTGCCACTGCAAGGTATTTACATGCCAGATATGGTAAACATTCATATGCCCCTTCATGCTTCGGCCACCATTCCAGAGGACATGTTTCCATGCTGATGACGCTTGTTAAAAAAAATAATGCATTTATTAAATTTGTGATTGAACTCCTTGGGGGAGAATTGTATGTCTCCTGCTCTGTTTACTCACATTCTGCCATATATTTCATGTTATAGGAGTCTCAGATGATGACCCAGCACATTTGTTTTAAAAACATTTTCACTCCAGATTTGACAAACCAAAAAAAAAAAGGGACCAACGTGAGATTTCTAAAGATAGCTACACCACTCGACCCAAAATCTGAGAGGGATGAGGTGTGGAGCATGCTTTCAGAAGTCTTAAAAGAGCAACAGTCCGATGCGGAAACTACAGAACTGAACCACCAAAAAAGAAAATCAACCTTCTGCTGGTGGCATCTCACTCAGATGTTGAAAATGAACATGCATTGGTCTGCACTGCTTTGGATTGTTATTGACCAGAACCTGTCATCACCACGGACGCGTGTCTTCTGGAATGGTGTTTGAAGCATGAAGGGACACGTGACTCTTTAGTGCATCTGGCACAAACATCTTGCAATGCTGGCTACAACCGTGCCATGAGAATGCCTGTTCTCACTTTCAGGTGACCCTGTAAACAAGAAGTGGGCAGCATTATCTCCTGCAAATGTAAACAAACTTGTTTGTCTGAGGGATTGGCTGAACAAGAAGTAGGACTGAGTGGACTTGTAGGCTCTAAAGTTTTACATTGTTGTTTTTGAGTGCAGATATGGAACAAAAAATCTGCATTTGTAAGGTGCACTTTCATGATAGAGATTGCACTACAGTATTTGTATGAGGTAAATTGAAAAATACGATGTCATTTTTACAGTGCAATATTTTAAAAAAATAAAGTAAGCATTGTATACTTTGAAATCAATATTTGAAAATGTAGAAACATACAAAAATATTGAATATATTTCAATTGGTATTCTATTGTTTAACTGCAATTAAACTGATCAAGGCTAATTTTTTTAATCATGATTAATCTTGAGTTAATCATGTGAGTTAACTGTGATTAATCACAAGCCTTCATACTGAGCAATATAAACAAGTCATTTCTATATGAAATTTTAGTTTACTGACTTCACTAATGCTTTTTATGTAGCCTGTTGTAAAATTAGGTAAATATCTAGATGTACTGTACCCCCACTGTGTACCCCCATGCATACATCTACCCCTGGTTGAGACCCACTTAGAAATAGGCTCTGTTTAAATTACCACCTTTGGCTATCTGCTATTGCTCCTCTCCAAATATGAAAGTGATGGCTTGTTAGAGTAATACTGCTTTTCCTCCAACAGGTTCTTATGAAAACTCAGACTCTGGAATCTGTCAAACCTACATTGATTTATATAAACAACTGACATTTTTGAAAACTACCTTTAAAGTGATGGAGACAAGGTGGGTCAGGTAATATCTTTTATTGGACCCGCTTCTGCTGGTGGGAGGGATAAGCTTTTGAGCTTAACAGTGCTCTTCTTCAGGTCTGGAGAAGGTAATCAGAGTGTCTGAGCTAAATACAAGTTGGGACTATTAAGCAGATGGGGCAGGGGAGGAAGGAAAAGCACGCCTGCGTAGGAGACAACTTAACATGGAGTAGGCAATTAAGGGTTAGCAGGCTCTAGGATGTTACAGATTGAGCCATAAAGCCAGTGTGTTGGATTAGTCCATGGTAATATCTAGCAGAATTATTAAGTTCCCAAGCTTGTCTTCTGAAGGTGTTGTGCAAGTTTCCTTTGAGGACAAAGGTTGCATGCAGTGTGATGATCGCTTAATGAAAAATGCTCACCCACATATGATTGTATTATTTTTCTGTGAGAATTAATTCAGTACTTTAAACTGACGATCATTTATAGAAAAAATGGACAGTTACAACATATCTAATGTTGTGTATCTTTACACACAACTCTTCACCCAGAGGGGGAGTGGAGAGAAAGCTATTACTCTGTAAAATTACATTTAACTCAAATAGCTTTTAGTCAATTTGAACCCTCTGAAGAATTGGACTTGTACATTCAAAGCAAACTGTGGGACACCTATTAAGTATCTACAAAATATTGGCAGTGCAGCAGTTCTTAAAACTGTAGTAATTAATACTTAAGATTCAGGTTCTAACAAACTTTTGGAAAGACAATCCAAGAGGGAAAACAAATGCTTCTATTGTAACTGAATACTTAAGTTACACTACTGTCATTTCACAGTAAATCTGACTAGTCTTTGCAATGGTAACCAGAACTTGCTATTAAATCACATACTTCTATCAAGACTCTTGGTTTGCAATAATGTTGCATTGTCTTTCAATTGTCCTTTCCACCCACTATAGTTCCCTTTCCTTTACTAAGCTATGAGGCTTCACATATGCTACCTTCCTCCCCATCCCCTGTGGGCAGGGGTGAGAGAAAATGTTAGCTGATGCCAGAAGGCCTAAGGGTAGTAGAAACAGGCAAATAAAAGGCAGTGCTGTGTTCATCTCAGCTTTGACAGAGGACAACTGTAGGATCAGATACCAAAGGAAACATTTTCAAGGGGCCTGTGTAGTGGACAAGCACACCTGTTTGTGAACATGACTCATTTAACATGATTATATGCTTGAACCACTAATCTGAAAAGTAAATATTTGCTAGCAGCAGAGAAAGTGTCTATAATTCCTTAGTCCTGGTGGTGCAGATTCACCAGATTCTTATTGCATATGCATGAGCAAGCATACATTTATATTTGCAAAGAAAGTACTTTCCTCATGTAAGATCAAAATCTCAAATATTTTTACAAAGTATCTTGTTGCACTTTTCCAGTTTTTTTTTAAAAGGTACTTGGGCTAAACTTCCCCCTTAACTATAACAAAAGCTTCAGAATGCCTTGGAATACAAGTGTCACTTCTAGAGCTACACCTTCAGAAATGACTCAATATGTTAATTTGTTATGGAATATAGTCTTACAGGAAAATGTTAGCACTAAACTATATTGGTAATTGTGATGTCTTCAATTTACCTGTACATTTATATAATATTGTGTACAAAGACTAAAGTTAATATTTTGATTTCTGCGAAGATAGTTTAATACAGAATTGAACAGTGTTGCTATAGCCATTCTAAGCACTTGTACACAACTCTTTAAACTACTACTTCTGGGCAAGGCATTTTTCAGTAGCTGTTTTCAGATTATTAAACAAAGGCTTTAAACTACAACATTAAATAGTAGTCAAAGCATTGTTATTTCTTATTACTCTCTGGTGACTCTGATAAGAAATGTTAAGAAGAATGACTAGCAGCTGTTCTAGCTTCAGCAGTCTGCTTGCTGTTGGACAGTTTAGCCCTGGTAAACTAGGTGGATGTTATGTCTGCTTACTGGTCTCCTTTACTGTGACAGCAATATCAGGATATTTTAACCTGAATGAAGAGAGATTAGGAAAGTGTCCTAATTTTAAAGAGAACCCCCACATCCAACATACTCATAAATTAATGTCAAGAATCACACAATTCAAATTTGACAATATTTCATTTATTGTGTTTAAGAACATTCAATAAATATCAAGTTTTCAGTTTCAGATTTGCAATCCTTATGCACGGAAAGTCTGATTTTTTTCCCCCTCATCTCCCCCCCCCCTCCCCCCCGCCCGGCATAAACTCCATTGCCAGCAATGGGTGTATCAGAACAGCCAGCCTGAAGAGGCTAATAAATATTTTAATATTCCTAGATAGCGGGTTTCTGAGCATACCCCTTCTAAATGGTATGTTAGATTCACCACACAAATTCTTCACAGAAGAAAATAAGACTTTACTACAAACTGTCCTCTGAATATTATTCTTTTACTAACAGTGGTCATTTATTTCATGTGGAACACGGTATTTAGAAATACAAAGTAGACATGGATTGTTAAAAATATCAGGAATTTAATTTCATATATGAAGAGTAAATTGAGATGCATGTGATCAGTACTGAATTGTATGAATTTAGTTGTAATGTGCCTCTTGCTAAGTTTCACAGCAATTCGGACCAAATGCTCACAAGAGAGGAAAAGGCAACATTTAAAAACCTCTTGCATTGTTTTGTGGGTTTTTTGCTTGCTAGAACATTAAAATAATCTTCATAAGTTTGGAAAAAGTTTAAAAGCAAATCAAAATAGTTTTAACTGCAGTGGGCTATTGTATTAAAAGATAAATATTTAAAGAAAATTCCTTCCCTTAATGAGCATCACCTTCAAGTACTTCCATTTGAACATTCTTCTAAACAAAACCTGCATCAGTCTGATTTTCACTGCTTATTTATTTAAGTGTGTTTAAAAAAAAAGTGTGAACACTAGTGTAAACCAAATAAGACTATAGTTAATCTTAATATACACCTCTGAATCTTGAGGAGATTCTTCACAGCTGTATATTACTTATCACCCAACTTTTAATTTAGCAAAAAATAAACTCTCAGCCACTTTTTATACACATGAATTATCCTGCTCTGGGCCTGAGTATTTTCATTCTGCAGTCCCTCTAACCCAAGGCATAACTTTGGGTGCATCTTTCTGCGTTTTAGCTTCCTGGAAGCTTTCAGCAAACCTCTCTCTTGCTTTATCCCAGTTCTTTTTGTTCTTGCTTTTGATGATCTGAACATCTTCAACTGAAGCTGGTCTACTTGTACCCAAGCCTGCATGCATCTTGTGTATCTGAAGCTGGATCTGTCAAACACATTGAAAAGTGTTATGGATTCCATATTTCAAATACTTGAACATTACTGTCAGAGGTGAAAGTACAAAGGACATACCAGTACACTGGAGTCCTGAGCAGGGGCGTGGCCTCAACCAGAAGAGGCGGGGTCTTTCAAGATTTAAAAGCCCTGGGGCTCCAGCTGTGGCTGGGAGCCCCAGGGACTTTAAATCACCCCGAAGCTACCAGCTGCAGAGGTGGCTGGGAGCTCAGGGGTGATTTAAAGGGCCTGGTGCTCCGGCTGCTGCGGGGAGCCCTGCCACCACTGCCCTGAGGTAGCGGCGTCAGGGCTCCAGTGGCGATTTAAAGGGCCCAGGGCTTCCTGCAGTTGCAGGAGCACCAGGCCCTTTAAATCCCCACCCGAGCCTGACTGGCGGCGGTGATTTAAAGGGCCCAGGGCTCCCTGCCATGGCTGGAGCCCTGGGCCCTTTAAATCACTGTCAGAGAAGCCAGTTCAGTCCAGCACAGTACTGGCTCTTGCCAGTACGCCGTACCAGCTTACTTTCCCCTGTGATTACTGTACACCTATCAAGCTCTGCAACATTAAGTAATCTATGTTTGACTAACAATAAAATACCCAAATCATGAACACTGATTTCATGTAGATAAAAGCCTGCTACTCATCCAGTTCATTTTAGAGGTGATCTGCAGGGAAAAAACAAAAAAACCTAAACCCTGAACTTTTTAGATGCTGAACAATCTAAACAAACGTAAGAGGATGTTTTAGCATGTATGCAACTAGTGTAATTTTTAAATCTGTGAGGCACAGTCCACCCTCTACCTTTTCCATGCAAGTGCCAGATTCTCACTCCATAATATAGCACCTACCACTCTAAAATCCAAACCCCGTATCTATTCCCCATCTGCATTCTGCTGCCCCACAAGGATCCTTTCATCTTCACAAACTGACATAGCGGCTGTGCTGGTGGGTGCAGAAGGGGTGCATGGGGGAGGTGCTGCAACACAGCACTGCGTAGATTCTGGACAGCTCGGTTGCCCTTAGGCAACCGGAACTTAAACAGAACTCCCACAGCTCTCTAGGTTACACTTTTTTGGTGGGAGGTGGGGCGAGGAGGCCACACTGGCTTCCATGGCAGGCCAAACCTGGAAGGGTACAAAGTGGCTTAAAGCCACCTTAGCCCTTTTCTACTCCTCCGTTGGTTGCAAGTTCTGTGCTACATCACTGTGGGGCACAGCAGAGGGTCTTACCCAAAGTCTGTCTTTTAAAATATTTGTATGCTCCCTATAAAAGGGAGAACAAAAGGGAAATTAGTTCTGTCTTCCTCTAGGCTTTGTGTGAAGCATTAAGATAACTGAACTACTGATTAGCTATCTAGACACAGTCTGTACCCCAACCCCAACCTCAATTCCCTAACAATGTATACACCACTAACATTTTCCAATGAAGCACCGCAACTATTGATATAATTTCTAAATACTAGATTAATAATTTAAAAGTGAGTAAATGTCCTGCTGAAGTGCTCCACATCCAGTACTTCAAAATCCTGTAAGTTCCTCAGGACTTACAGTGAAAATAGGATTTTCAGTGCAAATGCATTTTTATATTTCTGTGTAACCTGTAAAGCAAAAAGGCACAGAAACCTACCGGATTCTTCATTCCACCACCATCCTTGCCTAGCCCTTCTCCTTTTTTCCATCCCATCTTCTCCAGCATTTTGTGACCCTTGTTGCTATCACTGATTTCACTTTAAAAGA